GGTATCTTCTGGCCTTACGTTGAGGTCCTTGGTCTATTTGGAATTGAGTTTTGTGCAGGATGACAAGTATAAATCTATTTGGCTTTTACATGCAGCCATTCAGTTTGGTCATCACAATTTGTTGAAGATGTTGTCATTTTTTTGTCAGTGTGTATTTGTGACTTCTTTATGAAAAATCAGGTGTCCATAGATGTCCATTCATATCTGGGTCTTCAATTTGATTACATTGATCAAAGTCTCTGTTTTTATGCCAATACTATTCTGTTTGTCTTACTATAGCTCTGTAGTACAAATTGCAATTGGGGATTGTGATACCTCCAGCAATTCTTTTATTATTCAATATTGTTTTAGATATCCTGGGTTGTTTGTGTTTCCAAGAGAAGTTGAAAATTGTCCTTTCAATTTCTGTGAAGAATTGTGTTGGTATTTTGATGGGGATTGCATTGACTCTGTAGATTCCTTCCTGTATGATGGCCATTTTCACTATATGAATCCTACTGATCAGTAAGCATGGGAAAATTATCAATCTGATGTCTTCAATTTCTTTCTTCAAAGGCTTGAAGTTTTTACCTTACCAGTCTTTCACTTGCTGGTTTAAAATGATCTCAATCTATTCTTGAGGCTATTGTGAAGGTATTCTTTCCCTGATTTCTTTTTCAGTACATGTGTCATTTGTGCATAGGAGGGAAACTGAGTTTTGTGAATTAATTTTGTATCCTGCTGTTTTGCTGAAAGTGCTTATCAACAGTAGAAGTTTCCTCATGGACTTTTTAGGAACTTTTGTGTGTAAAACCATATTATCTTCAAATAAAGGTATTTTGGCTTCTTCCAAGAAGCACTACAATGCAGAAACATTTAAAATTTTAAACCTTATTTAGTCATTTCTCAGAATATTGTTCCCCTGGAAATAACTGTTTGAGGGGCTTGGGATCCAAGTCCTGAAAATGGCATCATTTCATTCTTCCTAAAGGCTCAACAAAATTGCATTGTGAATGTCATATTTTGTCATCCATTCATCTGTTGATGGGCATTTAAGATCACTCCATACCATGGCTCTCGTGAACAATGCCTCAATGAACGTGGGTGTACAGGTGTCTCTGCTATGTGCAGACTCAGATTCATCTGTACATTTACACAGAAATAGTGTATATCTGTGTCATATGGTAGTTTAAGTTTTTGATTTTTTTGAAAAACCTCATGCTGATTTCCTATAGCAGCTGGATCAATTTATTTTTCTGCCCATATTATGCAAGGGTTAATATCCAGAATATATAAATAACTTTTAAAATATAAAAACCTTCCACAATTACTACAAAGTAAAGCCCCATGGAATCTTTTATGCAAGGTGAATAGATGATTATTAAAAAGGGAACAGAGAATAAACAGACTTCTAAAAGCAAATATCATGAGATGAGGCTTCTTACCTGACTGTGAGTACCTACAAGAAAGAACCAAGCACCGGCAGTGTGCAAAAATGACCAAGCGGATATTACAAAGCCCAAGATAAATGAGGAAAAGACACGACCTCTGATTAACAAAGTTAAATTCAGAGAATAATAGTGTCCTGTGTGAACACTACTTCCTGGAATATTTGAAAGGACATTGCATATGCAAATCCAAAAAAGATGCTTTGAAAACTAAACCACTACTGTAGAAAAAAGACTCGCAAATTAAACACTTCATCTGGAAAAGAGCAAACATCAAAACTCCACACAAAGCAAAGACAGCTCCCCACAGCACAAAAGGAAGAGTGAGCGTGGGGGAAATGACAAGGAAGATAGAAAATTGTTTCAAATGGCTCATCCTTCCACTAATGGGAGTTCTAGAAAGAAGAACAAAGACAATGAGCAAATGAAGGTTGGAAAATTTGTAAAACTGAAATGAGACATGAATAGTCAGATTGGAAAAGGCCTATTAAGCAGGAAAAAAAAGTCATTCATTGATACAGTCTTGTCACAGTTCAGAGAATGAGAAGATGCTAAAAAAAAAAGTTGTCAAAGTTAAAGAAAGGTGGCCGCAAGGACTGAAGGTCTCCTGGGTATGAGCTTCACCATCATCATCACTAGTTGCTAGGAAACAAAAATACTTTCTTAATATTCTAAAGGAAAAAAAATTATTTGCAACATAAAATTTTACACCAACAGCAGCAAGTATGGTGAAATAAAGATGTTTTCAGCTGCAGAGGGATGTAGAAAACTGATCTTTCTTCACACATCTTAAGAAATGGCATAGAACCCAGATAGGCATACACACACTCACAAACATACATACACATGTTAGTGAAGTGCACACACAGATGTACACATGCACATATACAAAAATTTCATACAAATTCACATGCATTCCTACATGCACACACATATATACACACATATACCCATGCACACACACTCAAAAACACATGCATATCCATATGAACACACAAACATACACATACACATGCATACATGTACACATACATGTGCATGCATGCCAAGCACACAACACATACACACATATGCATGCATGCACACACATACATGCACAGACACACAACACACACACATACTGATACAAATACATGGACATAGGTGCACACACATGTGCAAACATAAATATACATGTACACATACACAAATGCATACATGTGTGTGCACGGACACATACACATGCATACACACACACACACACACACACACACACACACACACTCACACACGTACAGGTTATTATAAGAAAGGTGAATCTAGTTTCAGAGCTTACTGATAGGCAACAAGAAGATATTCACCTGGCTAGATTCGAGCAGCACCAGGGGGCCATGCTGAGAATGAGCCTGAGGTGGGGATGGACAATTTCAGCAGAAAGAAGAGATGAAAGACAAGGACCCTTCGTGCTGTGGCAAATAAGCCCCGTGTTTGTATTTCTTAAGAAAAGGTCAGTCTGAATTTCTGGAGGAGAGTCCGTTGCTCAGACACAGAGCCAACAAAACAGATGATTTTTTGTCCTTTTCTAATGATGAGAGGAAAAGACAATGCCTTTGATCTTGATCAGCCTGTGCTATGAGTGGTGCCAGGGTCATAAATTGGATTCTCTGAGAAGAAAACTAAATGCAAACATTTTAATTAGCTTGGCCTGAGCAACATTTGCATAGTCCTAATAGCATAAATGACGTTTATTGATTTGTAGTGGTTAGAATCTGCCAATAGACAAACCACAGATGATGAACGTAGTCACAAAATAGGCTCCTGATTACTATCCAAAAAAGGGAGAATAACTAACAAAAGATGCAAAAGAAGCAGAGGAGTGGAATGCAAATGATCAGAAGCTGTGTCCCAAGTCTGCTGAAAAGTGTATGTAGCGTGATCAGGATACCTAGAAACAGAAACACAAGATTATGTCCCACTGAAGACTTGGGAGAAGGGAGGAGCCACTGCTTTTTATGAGTCTTCTACAGTTTCTGTTTTATGGTTATTTTTGTTTCTCGGGGGTTCCATAATAAACTACCACAAATGGTGAGGTTTTGAAGAACAGACATACACATGGTTCTGCAGGGTAGAAGCTGAAATCCAGACCTTAGAAGGTTGATTTGTTTTAGAAGTGTTAATGGAGGCTGCATGCCTCTCCTCTGGCTTCTTGTCAATCGATTGCTTAAAATCCTTGGTATTGTTGGCTTGTCTCTGTGTCACTTCAATCTTCTTTTGACTTCTTATACTGTCCCTAGTATCGTGTGTGTGTGTGTGTGTGTGTGTGTGTGTGTGTGTGTGTGTGTGTGCGTGCGCGCACACATGTGCACATGCGCATGGGCACACACATCTCAATTTAGTAAAAGGAGCATGCTAGAATGCCTGACCACCTGCGTTTGATTCCCAGTACCCACATGGTGGAAGCAGACAACTGATTCCCCAAACTTGTATCCTGATCTTCCCCCACATGCCATGTCATGTGTGTCCTCTCTCCCCCAATAAATATAGATGTGATTTCAAAACTTAACTATAGTTTTAAAACTTTTTTTTGCCATATAAGGTCAGCTTCTGCGGTTCTAAGTTAGCAGTTCTCAACCTGTGGGTTGCGACCCTTTTGGGGGTTGAATGGGTCTTCAACAGGGGTCACCTAAGGCTATTAGAAAACATAGATATTAACATTATGATTTATGACAGCAGCAAAACTACAGTTATGAACTGAAAATGAAAATAATTTTGCAATTGCGGGCCACCACAACATGAGGAACTGTATTAAAGGGTCACAGCATTAGGAAGGTTGAGAACCACTATTTTAGGTTATAGGTCGAATGTTTAAAGTTCTTATTAATAAAAAAAAAAAATACCCAGAGCCAGATATCAGGGTGAAAGCTGAAAGATCAGAGAAGCAGAGCAAGTCATAGCCACCACCCCTTACCTCACCAACTCCACAGCCTGAAAAAGCCTCTAGTTCCTGTCTCCTCACGCCTTATAAACCTTTCTCCACTCAGCCATCACTTCCTAGGATTAAAGACTTGTGTGTTTCCCAAGCAAAGGCATAAAACCTCAAGTGCTGGGATTAAAGGTGTGTGTGTGTGTGTGTGCCACCACTGCCTGGCTCTGTTTCTCTCCTAGACTGAGTCAGTCTCATGTAGTCTAGGGTGGCTTTGAACTCACAGAGATCCAGATGAATCTCTGTTTCCTGAGTGCTAGGATTAAAGGTGTGTGCCACCACTGTCTGGCCTCTGTGTTTAATCTAGTGGCTTGTTCTGTCCTCTGATCTTCCGGTAAATTTTATTAGGGAACACAATATATCTACATTAGGTAGACACACTATTATGTATTTGTGTGTGTGTGTGTGTGTGTGCGTGTGTGCTTGTTCCATCTTCTATTCTACCAACCTGTCACCGTTATCATATGCAAATATGAATTGATATGAATATGTGTACATGGAGAATGCTTTTTAGAAAGATTCTATTTTAAATTTTATGTATATGTGTTTGTGTGAGGATACATGCTTGTGAGTGCACAGGTGCCCACAGGGGGGGAAGAAGCGGGCTGGGTCCCCCAGAACTAGAGCTACAGGCCATTTAGAGCTGCCTGCTGTGGGTTCCAGGAACTGAACTCAGGTCTGCAAAAGCAACACCTGACCTTAACCATTAAACCACCTCTCTAGCCCAGAGAATGCTTACCTTGTGCTTCAAAGTGCTTTTCCAACCATATTTTAGAAGCATGTGTGTTCCCTGGAAATCATTGAACTACCTTAGGCAAAGCCGTAGGGGACCAAAGGCTGACAAAGGAAACACCAGATGCGTGTGCTTTGTGCCTTTGTCTTAGCTATTGTACAAAGTGTGGTCTGCTACATAGCTGAAAAAAACTTCATGTAAAGATTGATGCCATTCATTAATTTAACATCAAAAAGTTTCTCTATATTTATAATATGACATGCTTCCTTTTATTGACTAATTAAGAAATATATGATTCATTTTATCTCCCATTCTGCCTTCCCTGGCAGAAAAATGCCCTGCCACACTTCATAGCAAGTTATAGAAGCAATAACTGTGTGTTTGTTGGGAAACTATCTACCATCACCTCTTAACGCAAATGTTTTTTGATAATGTCCCCTTGTTTAACCTATTAGGGTTTAATGGCACAACCCCCGGTGTGTTAATGTGGGTAGAAATTGATCATGAGACAGAGTGAGTGGGAGAACCTCCACAGCAACAGGAATAAAGGTGACAGACAGTTTAAGGAGCCTATCAGGGGCTGTGTTGGAAGGATTTCGTTAATGAATGGAAGAATAAGTGGGAACTTGTAATAAAAGATGAGCAGCAGGAATTGGTCCACAAAGAAAGTGGGCACAGTTTCCTGCCAAGAGGTTTGTAAGAATGGGAGGGCTTGGGAGGAAGAGCATTAGACAGAAAGAAGACAATGTATGCAGGTCTAAGCATGAGAGTCTCAGAGGGAAGGAGAGAATTCCCTCTGAAACACAGAAAGGGGCTTCACTGACGGTGAGACTGAGAGACGGATAGGGAGAGAGAGCCATAGGTAGCCACCAGGAGAGGGATAGGAGCGGTGGGGTAAAAGGGCAGAGGAACATCTTCAGAAAACAACCTTCAGAGCAATCTTCCCAGAATCCCTCCTGAGGAGCTTTGGACCCATCCCTAGAACAAAGGAAAGACCTGATTGTTTAAAACCGTTTAAGGGTGATGGGAAGTTTCATATCAAGCAGTTTAGTTCAGTGTAGAGCACCGAGGGCCCGCCTGGTTAGGAGCATAAATCTATCACTGCTGTGAAGCACAGCACAGATGCCTTACTAACTCTCTGTCCAAGAGAGCCACAGAGAAGTGTGGCCTGATACAAACCAAGAGCTCAACATGGAAGAGCAAGAGCTCTGAGACAAGTGCATTAGCAGCCTCTGCACCTGAGAGCTGAGTGGGTACAAAAGATGGGTTTTGGAGGATGTCAAGGAGGTAAAAGGAGCTAGGTATTTCCGGGTTTTGTACGTCACGGTCAAGTCTGATTTCATTCCCAGTATATGTTTGCTCCTCAGAGAACTTGTGTAGCTGCTGTGACTTAGATGTGGTTTTTCCCTCCCAAAAGTCAATTTTAATCTGATCTCCAAAGCACCATTGCTGAGAGAGATCATTAGATCATGGTGGATCCAAACTCTGAGGGATTGATGTCATCCATCCTCACAAGAGTAGGTGAGTGACAGAAGGCCGATGTTGTGAAGCAAGGCTGTCTCTCCCCTCGTACTTCCTCCTTTTCATGTGCGGTCCCTCTTTGTGCACCTGTGTGTGCATTCTGCTTATTCAGCCAGAAGATGCAGCATGAGGCTCTCACCAGGAACCGAGGAATCCAAATATACACTTTCTCTATGAACTTGGATTTCCCCACCTCCAAAAACACTAGCTCTAATGCAAACTGTTTCCCTTATAAAGTACGCATCCACAAAACAAAATAATATCTTCATAAAAAAGACTGTAGCATCTCCCTGACAGTTCTGTTCTAGACATCAATGTCCTTGTGGTCTAGAAACCGCTCAGGGTAAATATTCAAAACAACTTTTTCTTCTTCTTCTTCTTCTTCTTCTTCTTCTTCTTCTTCTTCTTCTTCTTCTTCTTCTTCTTCTTCTTCTTCTTCTTCTTCTTCTTCTTCATCACCCTTGCCTATACCACCTTCATATCCAATAAGCTATATTGTGCATAGGCATGTATGCTTTTATGTATTCAAGTGGCTCTTGATCCCAGAATTGCCTTTGGGTCATACACATTGTAATTTCTGATGAGCGATTTCCTAAAAGCCCAAGAACATATTCCCCACAACTTTAAATTTGAAACTTCAAATCCTAAGAGTGGCAGAAAATGTTCAGAGGACATGTCTGGAGTTAAGAAAAAATACTGCAGTGCCTGACTGGACAAAAGATTTTGAACCAGCTACTCAATTTCTACATGCTTCAATTTTACCACATGTGAAGACAGGGTTGCAACTGACACTCGGTGTGATCGTCCTGGAGAAGAAAGAGGGATAAGCCAAGTTCAGAAAAATGGACAAATATTAATGATTGTTGATGGTAGGACTGAACCTAAGCATATGAATATTACCAACACATTTATTGTTCTTAAATTTTAATTCATCACTTTAAAACTATGCTCTAGAGCAGGGAAATTATTACTTTGATTTGTAGTATATGTGTGAAATGGGATTTTTATTTATGTTTGACCCTAAATTAAAACTATAAACAATGTGAACTCTTCTTCCCTTTCTCCACTTCCTCCTTTTTTTCTCTCCTCTCCCTTCCTCCCTTCCTCTCCTCCTCCCTCCCTCCTTTCTGTTTTCTTTGGAACAACTCTAGGGTCTTGTACATACAGGCAAGTGCTCTACCACTGAGCTACACCCCCAGCCTAAGACAGGTATTTCAACGTGTCATGTCAGAAGATTATATACTTTCAGAGATTGTTTCTGTGGTTCATTAAAATCATTTTAAAGCTCAAAAAATGTGTCTGTATTTTCTCCTCACTTTAATGTTTTTGGAATGACAGCCCCTTAAAAAATGTGTGTTCCAGTATGTCTTTGCATCTGCAATATCTTTCTCACAAATAAGATTAGTACATTTTTGTATTTCTAATAACTCATGTAAATCAAATGGAAATACTTCCAGTTGACTCAGGGAATCTTTGAAAACTACCTTTAGCTAATATTAAGCTATAGAGTTAAAAACCTTCGAATATTCAAACGATTGAATTACATGTATGGAGCCTAAGAATTGGAGCTAATTTATTTTGTTTTAAACATTGATTTATGTTTTCTTCTTTGTGTGTATATTGTTTCAGGACAGACTTCTCTGCAATGGACAGCCAGCCAGAGAGCTCATCCCTGGGAGAGACTAAGTCTCATTCTTCCAGTGGTCAGTAGTTGCCTGTCTCTCTTTGTCTATGGGTGGGACACTAGGAGATTCCTTCCCCTGCTCTGTGTAGTATTCTGGTCCTTAGAATAAAAACATACTCAACAGGTTCTATTTAACACACAGTGCGTGTGTGTGTGTGTGTGTGTGTGTGTGTGTGTGTGTGTGTGTGTGCATGTGTAAATGTGTAACCAATATAATCAAAGAAAAAGAGAGACTGTCAACTTAAGGGATTGGGCATGGGAAGAATTTGAGGGAGGCTAATTAGGAGGGCTAGAGGGAGGAGAGGGAAGGAGAAGTGATATAATTCCATTTCAATTAAAAACATTTTATTTTTAAAAAGGCATAAAAATGGGAAAAATGAAAAAAAAACTTTTATTTTATGGTATTAGTGTTTGCCTGAATCTCTATTTTTATAACGTATGCGTGCAGGAGCTTATAGAAGAGAGCTGCAGACCCACTAAAATTAACAGATTGTTGTGAAACACCATGTGGATGCTGGGAATCAAACTCTGATCCTCTATAAGAGCAGTCAGTGCTCTTAACTACTGAAACATCTCTCCAGACCCTATTGTCTTTCATTTCTGATACAATCTTAGTCAATTACAAGTTTTCCATTTGCTTAGAACTGGATGAACATTTACATTAGCCTTAATTGACTTTCCAGTCACGTTGAAAAGAACAGGTTCTCATCACTCAGCTTTAGGAATTGGCATCTTCAGTGTGGACCACACAAGAGCCAATGAAAATACAGTTCTTAATACTTCTAGAACTGCAGGGACTAGGGGGTGTGGTTTAAGCCCATGGGGCTTCCCTGGAAAACCACCGCACTCTATTGTATTTTTATGTTTGTGACTGTTTTAGTTATCTCGATTTGTATATATAGCCATCTAACCTGGCCACAGAGGGTATTTTAATGTCTTATATAATTTCATAACTAATTTTAAGACTGCTAATTCTGTAGTACGTCCCAAGAGAGTGAAATCTCAAGGCATCCAGAGCAGTGGGATTATATGATTATTGCACCATCAGAAATTTATATCCATGTTCCTACACTGAAGAGGAAGGAATAAAATTCTTATAATCTAAGAAGGATAAACTGTCCCTCAATAGCATCCCAGGATGGATTCCCCAGCCACCTTCAGACAACACTTCTGCCTGCTTACCCTTTAGATTGATGACTATGAACTGGACACCGTGTTAAAACCAGGAGGTCTGCTTCTGAGCAGGGAGAAGCTTCCCAACGTTTCCCCAAAACCCTGGGAATACAGAAAGCACAAAAGTCCATAGGAGAGCAGCCATCTCTCCATAAGTGAGTAATTTTCTATGAGAAAAAAAAAGCCAAACTACATCAATTTGCTTTAGGATTATAGCAACACACACCAATATCCAATCCCTTGAGCTAATTGATCCAAGGGGGGCAATCTGTATCACTTGGGATTTGTGTGCTTGCTGAAGCAGTAAGAACTACTGGTTGCTCAATTATGAATATGAATTTTGGAAAGGTCACCATGAGCTTTCATCACCCTTAGATGCAGGATGCCTATTAAGCTTTCTCTGAAGGATGTGCTTGGGGAACGAAATCTAACTTGGATGATAGTCTCAGCACATGCAAAGCAGTTCATTTGAAACCATAACAATTCAAAGGCTCATCGACTCAGCCCCACACAGAAGGGGAGTTACAAGTGACAGAGCTGGGAGCGTGAACCGCAGTGGCTCCCCTCTCACCGAAACACACCTGTGTGCCTCCCCTTGAATACTTGGTTGAATTTGCTGGCTGCATTCACTTCTCTTACAACTGGACAATCATAAATATCTGTATCATAACGCAAGCCTAGCACTGCGGCCTTTTGGAAATGACCCTGTTTCAGCCCACAGATACATAGCTTTGCACACTGCAGAAGGCAATATGGTAATTAGTTCTCTGTCTCCAGTCAAAGCGCCCCCCCCCCCAACAAGCCGTAGGTGGGATAGGAAAGAAAGGGCATAAAGACAAAAGGCTTTGAAAACATCAGAAAGGCTTTGATTTGACCATTGCTGGTACATTGCTTCTCAATATTATGCTAATATATGTATTTCTGTTTAAATAAGAGGAGTTCTTTTGATGTTGTTTTTGAATTCGGAAATATTTACTATTCAGCATCAGAGAGCAGGCGTATGAAACACAGACTGTCACATGAATCTCCCTTAAGTGTGTCAATAGTGAATGAATATTAAAAGCACAAGCCGTGACTACAGAAGCCTCAGGACAGCAATGGAGGTGTGGTAGAAGTTGGAGCCCAGGTCTGGAGAACAGAGAGGCTTGAGGAAGGCAGATAGATGGGTGAGAAGAGGAGGAAGGGTCAAGTACGATTGTCAGGCTCGGGATTCAGCTTTCCAATTACTGGAGTGTGACGGTGGGCCACTGACTGTGGGATCAAAGAAAGAAGGGAAAAACAGAGGCTCTGGAGTTCAAACTCACCCACCTCTTAGGAAACGTGAACGGTCAGCCAGGAACACAGCAGCCTGAGGGCAAAGGGCAAGTAACTCTGGCCTCCTTCAGAACATTAAGGAGTTTGGTGAGTCATGCAAATTTGTGGGGCTCCATAGATATTGCTTAGTCCAGGTTATCAAGGAAAGCTGATATGCCCTGAGAAAGAGTCTAATTACTAATTTCAGAAAAAGAGAGCATGCAGTTAAGTATATAGGAGACAGAAATTCAGGTTATGTTACAACATGTGGGAGAGGGATTAGAAAAATTAATAATGGAATGAGTGCCTTATGTATTTCTTCTGATTATTGCTTTAAATGTGGATTCGCTGCTTAATAAAGCTCTGAAATCTAATTTGTCTCCTGCATAAGTTAGCTCTGGCTGTATAAAAAACAACTCCACAATTGAGCAGATTACGCTGTAGCCATTTGTTCATAGCAGGTTTGACGGATGAGTTTGCACATGTGTCTGGGGCAGCTGTCTTGTTGGCTAGAAGCTAGAAGATCTAGAATGGTCCCAACTTGGATGAATGAGTTCTCCACATGCCGATGTTCTTGTGGGGATCATAAGCAAGTTATGGCAAAAATGCATTGCCTTGTTTTTTTTTCAAAGTTGCTTGCATCTGATTTGCTAATTTTGCATTGGTTAAAGCCACAGGAGGTCAGAATCAGTATGGGAATGCCATTGGTAGCAGATTTATCTTGACATTGCCAACTATTCAGCATGAGCTTGCCTTATGCTACAGGAAAGAAGCTTGGGGTAAGTCAATGTGAATCATAAAAGAATTTATTAAGCAAGTCAGGCAGAGTCTACAGGGAAAGATAGATTTTCAAGGTTTACAGAGGGGTTAAAAGTAGTTGCTTAACCCAAGCTTGGTTCCTAGTATTCAAGGGCAACTCACAACCCTCTGTAACCCAATTCTAGGGGATCTGGCATCCTCTCTGGCCTCCATAGGCACACAGACATGCATGCAGGCAAGCACTCATACACATAAAAATAGACATAAAAAATAAATCTGTAACAAAATAGAGATATATTCTCATGTGGGCATTAAGAATGATACATCCCTACATGTCTTAATAATAGCTATACATGTGATGTTGTTACTTTTGAAGTCATAGTGTTCAAAGAATATAATCTATGGTTCTGAATTTAAATAAAGTTCTAAAATTAAACGAAAAGCCAGAGTAGTTCTTTTTTTAATCTTTATTAAATAACTTTTTTAAAAAGTGAAATTGGAGGCAATTTATGGAGTATATTGCATAGATGCAAGATAAAATGAAAGAAATGCTGTTAAGATGTAAAGTCAAAGGTCAGAAGGGTACAAGACATGTCTTTGACCTTAAGCATCGTTCATTACATTTAAATACTCTTATAGTACAGTCTCTGCACAGGCTGTGTTTGCCGTGGTTTGGTCACTTGTGTTGAAATTCTTGACCTTCAGCCAGCAAGGGATATAAAGCAGAGCATGGAGTTCAGAGCCTTTTCTGTCCCAAGCTCTGTCCCTTCTCCCTCTCCTCCACTCTTCCCTCAGGAAGTCACTGCAGAAGAGCCCAGACGACTAAGTAAACCACAGAGATAATCAATCTGCACCTAATTTTTTATTGTGAATTGTAGAAATTTTGGAAATTCTGAAAAGTATGTAATTCACCATATTTCAGTATCTAGAGCAAGATACCCTACCATCTTTCTGCCCTGTCATTTTCTATGATTATGTATTTCTCCTTTTCTCAATGATCACACAGCACATATTTTCTTAAGGGGGTGCTGTTCTTAAGCACCCCGACGCTTTCGAGCCTGTGCTACTCTCTCGATTACTGTTTTGCTATATTAATTTAAAACATTTTCCAATTATGGAACCTTTCCCATACACAAGATTACATCCTTCGGAGAGCTCCTTAGGAGAGCTCATTTAACTGGAAATTAGTGGGTCAATCATTCAGAAGTTTCTCATTGCCAATGACCAAAGATCTTTCCAAAAATATCTGTTCTATTCCTCACTATCAATTACAAAGATATGGTACCCTCTCCTGTCATGAGTATTCTCTCATTTTACTGTCTTTCGATGATAATAAGAAAGTCAATTACTTATGCAGGTCACAGTCAACACTCAGAAAGTTGACCCACAGGAAGGCCTGACACTTCTGGGCATTAGACAAGCACCATATAAATATGAGTGAAATTCTTAGCATCTTGTGTTCACATGAACTCACTCATGTGATGACTCATGTGTTGCAGTTTTCATTACTGTGGGTTTTTTTTTTCCTGCATCGCCTCTTTTCACCTCTCTCCTCCTTTCTCTCCTTTGTTATTTTCCTTCATCTATTTCCTTCGTGTCATTCTTCTGTTTTTTTTTCTACCAGTTTCTAGTTTCACGTTCTATTTTACAATTACTATGTTTTAAGTTCTTTCATATAATTTTTCAGGGAATTGCTTTGGATTAAGCAAACTAAGTTACGAGTTTCCAGGTCTTCAGGTTCCCACAATGATATTCACTAATACAGTGGAAGAGGAAAACCAGAAGCCTAAGGCAAAGGCAGTTCTGCACAGACCTCTCAATATTTTTAAGTCTTCTTCTTTTCTTATGGCTACATTTCTCCTAGTTACTGAAAAATTCCTATTTTCTCTCAATTTTCAAAGATAAAGTTTGCTGAGACATAATATATATATGTATATATGTATACACACACATACACACACATACACACACACACACACACATATATATATATATATATATATATATATATATATATATATATATATTGATAATAAACTAGGGTCTACTATCAGTTTTCCTCCTACTGTGTGGCTGTGCTGGCTCTGTAGGGGGATGGGATAGTCTCTCCACCATTGATAAGAAGCTGTAATTGTTTGCTTTATCAAGAGTGGCACCAAATACCAGAATGACTACATGTGGAAGATAAATGTCTTCACCCCTCACTTTGTTTTATTGGCAACAATTAAGTTGATTTGAAAATAAATCCATGCTGCCTCTATGTGCACACCACACTCCAACATTCATAATTGCTCCCTGTGTGTAATGGCCTAGATGTTAATTTTAGATAGTTGGAGTGGCAAGTCATATATTTTTAAACCATGGAGTCATTTTTAATTAATGTCTATTTGTTTTAATTTTGAAGCCCTGTTGAAATAATCAATAATAGAAGTTGAAAGCACAAGCTATGGCAACAAAGTTATGTGAATCCTTCTTACTGGCTATAAATTACTTATGGAGTCTTTATAATTTTTTAAAGAAATTATTACTAATAAACAGAATATTATTTAAAGTATTCCATTAAATTTGCCTCTAGCTTCTTCCCACAAGAGGCCAATATTGCTGATCTATTTCATTTTCTATGAAGGAAAGGGACAGAGTAATTTGAAAAACCAACTCAAAGGGAAATATAGTTGTGTCATGAACATCTACTGAAGTTCTACTTGAAATCTGTAGCCACTAATTAAAATGGGGCCCATTGGGATGCTCCAGGTGCTTTGTTCTGCTATAATGAGCTGCCCAGTTCCTTAGTCACACATGGAACAGGTAGAACAGTTAATGTAACCACACAAAAGCTTTTTCTAAGAACATCAATGAAGTCAGAAAGGGGACAGGGAGCTGAGAGCATACACAAGGGCATAAAACTAAGCCATATAAAGAGCAAAGAGAGCAGGACAGAGTGTGGAGTTAAAAGGATGCCGAGTCCCCAAGGATAAGAGAAGCCTGGGTGGGATGTACTGATGAAGTGGTGGTACCTGTGTGTGAGTTGGAAACACAAGGCTTTCGGGAGA